TCTTCTCATTTGCCTGCTCGAAGGACAAAAAAATAATTCACCCCCTAATTTTTTGAGAAGACTAAGAGCATGAGGTGCACAAAATGCTGAGGAAAACTAAATTCTGTTTAGTTTTATTTATTATTTAATATATATTTTTTTTAAATCTAAGTTTGTGATTCAGCTACACAGAAATATTTTGCTATATTTTTCGTTATTTTATTTTAAAAAAATATTATTATTTTTTATAACATGCATTAATATATTTAGTATACTCACCGGCCACTTTATTAGGTACACCTTATTAGTACTTGGTTGGATCCCTTTTTGCCTTCAGAACTGCCTTAATCTTTCATGGCATAGATTCAACAGGATACTAGAAATATTCCTCAGAGATTTTGGTCCATATTGGCATGATGATAGCATCACACAGTTGCCGCAGATTTGTCGGCTGCAGATCTATGATGCGAGTCTCCCATTCCATTACTTCCCGAAGGTGGTATCTTGGATTGTGATCTGGTGGCTGTGGAGGCCATTTGAGTACAGTGAACTCATTTTCTTGTTCAAGAAACCAGTCTGAGAGGATTCACGCTTAATGACATGGTGCATTATCCTGCTGGAAGTAGCCATCGGAAGATGAGTACACTGTGCTCATAAAGGGATGAACATGGTCAGCAACAATACTCAGGTAGGGTGTGGCGTTGACACGATACTCAATTGTTACTAATGGGGCCAAAGTGTGCCAAGAAAATATCCCCCACACCATTACACCACCACCACCAGCCTGAAAAATTTATACAAGGCAGAATGGATCCATGCTTTCAAGTTGTTGATGCCAAATTCTGACCCGACCATCCGAATGTCGCAGCAAAAATCAAGACTCATCAACGTTTTTCCCAATCTTCTATTTTCCAAATTTGGTGAGCGTCTTGACCACTTGTACATGCCTAAATGCAATTAGTTGCAGCCATGTGATTGGATGATTAGAAATTTGGGTTAACGAGCAGTCAGGTGTACCTAATAAAGTGGCCAGTGACTGTGTGTGTGTGTGTGTGTGTGTGTGTAGCTTTAGTTTTATTTAATGAAATGTATTATTGTATTTTGTGTTTTAACTACAGTAATTGTTTTGCTTTTTTATATATATCATTATTATAGTTTAAACATTCTCGTTATTAGATATTTACATTATTAAAAATTATAACTTTTACATACAGTATGTATACTTTTTTCTTTTTAAACTATAAGTTGAAACATCATGTTAATTTTATATGTATAAGAGACATAAAAAATACAGAGAAAGTGGGGGGAGGATCAAAAAGAAATGGAAGAAATTACATGCGAGTTCTTAGGTTTGAGGACGTCACGGTGGTGCAGTTATGCATGGTTAACTGTAATGTAATGTACTGTGTATTTATATAGCGCATTTATTGTGTATGTACACCCAAAGCGCTTCACAATCATGAGGGGGGGTCTCTCCACACTACCACCAGTGTGCAGCATCCACTTGGATGATGCGACGGAAGCCACAGGACAACGGCGCCAGTGCGCTCACCACACACCAGCTATTGGTGGAGTGGAGAGACAGTGATCGAGCCAATTCGGTGGAAGGGGATGATTCGGAGGCCGTGATCGTAAAGGCCGATAGTGGGACTTTGGCCAGGACACCAGGGTTACACCCCTGCTCTTTCACAAGAAGTGCCATGGGATTTTTAATGACCACAGAGAGTCAGGACCTCGGTTTAACGTCTCATCCGAAAGACGGCGCCCACTGACAGTGTAGTTTCCCCTTCACTTTTACTGGGGCATCAGGACTCACACAGACCACAGGTTGAGCGCCCCCTGCTGGCCTCACTAACACCACTTCCAACAGCAACCTAGTGTTCCCTAGTGGTCTCCCATCCAGGTACTGACCAGGCTCAGCCCTGCTTAGCTTCAGTGAGTAACCGGTCTTGGGCTGCAGGGTGATATGGCTGTGGCATAACTGTGCGGCAACTGCCTGAATAAATGCATATATCTGGAAATCAATAGAAACACAACTAAATCATTTCATTCAGATTCACACAAATCAATAACTGTAACTCTAGTTTTTTCTGCAATCTATATATTGCGATACGCGTGACATGGTGGCTCAGTGGTTAGCACTGTCGCCCCATAGCAAGAAGATCACTGGTTCGAGTCTCGGCTGGGTCAGTTGGCATTTCTGTGTAGAGTGTGCATGTTCTCCCCATGCTGGTTCGGGTTTCTTTGGGTGCTCCGGTTTCCCCTACAAGTATAAAGGCATGTGGTATAGGTGAATAGGATCAACTAAATTGTCCATAGTGTATGTGTGTGAATGAGAGTGTATGGGTGTTTCCCAGTGATGGGTTGTAGCTGGAAGGGCGTCCGCTGTGTATAACATCTGCTGCACAAATTGGCAGTTCATACCTCTGTGGCGACCCCAGACTAAGCTGAAAAAAAAAAAAACAAGAATTCATTCAATTATTCGTTTTCATGTTTAAAGTCTCAGCTTCTCAAGTTGCAGGCAGGACATGACATTTTTGTTTATCAATGTGGAGCAACGGACAGGATCTTTTTGTTTCCAATTCAGTAAAATCAATCTACGTGCCAAAAGTGTTATAAATCTAATCACTGTACATTTAATTTTATAATTTTAACATAACTTTTTTTGTATAAAGACCGCATGGCTATTTAGCACCTCACTGTTAACTTTTGCTCTTTCTTTTTTTTTTCCTTTGCTATTTTTCTTTCTCACTCTTCTTTTGCTTTTAATTCTTTTGCTTTTATTTTTATTGTGCGTCTATTCAAAAAAAAAAAAAAAAAGGTGAAGAATCTTGGTGTGACTCTGGAGTCAGATCTGAGTTTCAACAGTCATTTCAAAGCAGTCAGTAAATCAGCATACTATCATCTCAAAAACACTGCAAGAATCAGATGCTTTGTTTCCAGTGAAGAGAAACTTTTATCAGCAGCAGGGTGGATTACTGTAATGGACTCCTCACTGGTCTTCCTAAAAAGACAGTCAGACAGTTGCAGCTCATCCAGAATGCTGCAGCCAGAATTCTGACCAGAACCAGAAAATCAGAGCACATCACACCTGTCCTCAGGTCTTTACACTGGCTGCCAGTTACATTCAGAATAGACTTTAAAGTATTATTACTGGTCTATAAATCACTAAATGGCCTAGGACCTCAATACATTACAGATATGCTCACTGAATACAAAGCCAACAGGTCACTCAGATCTTTAGGATCTTATAAACTAGAAGTTCCAAGAGTTCCAAGCAGCCCCCCGCTGCTGGAATCAACTTCTAGAAATGATCAAAAGTGCTCCAACATTAGGCACATTCAAATCAAGACTAAAAACAAACCTGTTTAGCTGTGCCTTTACTGAATGAGCACTGTGCTGCGTCCGACAGATCGCACTATCATGTTTTTCTCTTCTTCTTCATTCTTTTATATCACATTTTACCTGTTTTTATGTTTTTTAAATAATTTTTATTATTTGTTTTTATATTTTTTTACTTGTTTCTTTTATTCTCGTTTATGTAAAGCACTTTGAATTGCCACTGTGTATGAAATGTGCTATATAAATAAACTTGCCTTGACTCTTCTTATTTGCCTGCTTGAAGGAGAAAAAAAAAATCACCTCCTAATTTTTGGGAAGACGGAGAGCATGAGATGCACAAAATGCTGAAGAAGAGAGAGGAAAGAGCAGAATTTATTTATGGACAGGAGAGAAAAGTGTTTGTGCTGGGAATAAAGCGAGAAGTGAAAAGAGCGAGCGAGAGAGAGAGAGAGAGAGAGAGAGAGCTCATTGATTGCTCGCAGGAGGAAGTATAAATCTCCTCTGTTTTTCCTCCTCTTTTTATTTTCTCAGTTCCCCTTGTTTTCCTCCTCCTCCTCCTCCTCTTCCTGTTTTAGCCACTTCTAGATTTAAATGTTTATAAGGGATGGTCTGGATCCAGTGTTGCCAGTCTTTAGTGATGCTGTGCAACATTTCCTGCACTCAAAAAATAATGTTTGCTGTTTGTTTAAATTACTTATTTAAATTGAGTTGAAATAACACAATTCTTGAGTTCAATCCACTTTAATGCATAAAAACTAGTGGTTGGGTGTTATTGGCATGCTGCAGTGACGCAAGACTCTTATTGTGCGATTGAAAAAAAAAATATCGCTGTTCATCTATTTTCAAGTTGGGTTGGGAGCTGGGTCTATTCTCCGCAAATTATGATGACTTGATTACTACACAGGTAGTCTGTCTGCTTGTTTCATAGCATGAGCCATGCTCCTGTATAACTAAAGCTGAATGTTTTGCTGTCGTTGTGTGTGCAGGGAGATTGCCTTCACCAGGCAGTTGCAGCAGCAGTCGCCCAAACTCGCCTACTACTATCTGGGTTTCTACGTCCATTCGTGCCCGAAGATGCGCTATAAGGTACGTCTCTGCTATGAATTATCCGTTCTTGCTGGAAACCCCGAGTTCTGCAGTGTCATAAATATTTGAAGCAAAAGAAAGTTTTGCTGCATCATGTCTGATGCTCATCTTGGCTGAATCACACCACAGGGATATGGAGTCAATCTAGGGCCATAAATGCTTGCAAAGTGAGAGCTTTGCAAGCAAAAAAAAAAAGTAAGTATTGAGGCGAAGCAGTGCCGCAGTAGGTAGTGCTGTCGCCACACAGCAAGAAGGTCGCTGGTTCGAGCGTCGGCATAGTTGGCGTTTCTGATTGGGGTTTGCATGTTCTCCCTGCATTCGCATAAGTTTCCTCTGGGTGCTCCAGTTTCTCCCACAGTCCAAAGACATGCGGAGCTGGTGAATTGGGTAGGCTAAATTGTCCATAGTGTATGAGTGTGTGTGAATGTTTGTGTGGATGTTTTCCAGAGATGGGTTGCGGCTGGAAGGGCATCCGCTGTGTAAAAACCTGCTGGATAAGTTGGGGGATCATTCCGCTGTGGCGACTCCGAATTAATAAAGGGACTAAGCCGACAAGAAAATGAATGAATGAATGAATGAATAAATAAATAAATTAGTAAATTGAAATAAGTTTTGAGCAAAAAAATAAAAATAAATGCAAATCTCTTTTTTGATAAATAAAAAAGGTTTGCTAACAAAAATAAAGAATTGCAAAGGGAAAATTAAGTTTTGAGAAATAAAGATGAAATTTGCAAAAGAGAAATGAACTGCTAATAAAAACAAGCAGTGCAGAAAAAAAAAGCGTAAGTTTGTGATGCTGCTTTCACTTTGCACTTCACGTTTCACTTTGTGACCCTGATTTGACAAGGGGGCGTAAACACTCATGTTCTGTTGACTCCGCCCCCTTGTCAAATCAGGGTCTCAAAGTGAAACGCGCAGATACATGAAATCAGAGTGAAAACAGCAGTGCAAACTCACTGTTGACTAACAAGCTAATCCAATAGCAGTGCAATTGATTGCACGGGATTTGTAAAGGGAATGCTATAAAAATGTTTTGGAAACATGTATAGTTTTTTTAATTGCAAATATTTTCGTTTTTCTGCACTGCTGGATTTTTATTTGCTGCACTCTTTTGTTAGCAAATTTATTTTTTGCTTCCCAAAACTTAATTTACCCTTTGCAGTTCTTTAATTTAGTTTAAAAAATCATTTTTATTTCTCAAATTTATTTTCGCTTTGCGATTTTTGGAGATTTGCATTTATTCATTTATTTATTTATTTTTCTTTATTTTTTGTTTGCAAAAATTTATTTTATCTTGCAAGTACATATGGCCCAGTGGAGCAGTGGCGCAGTAGGTAGTAAAACTGGTTCGAGCCTCGGCTCAGTTGGCATTTCTGTGTGGAGTTTGCATGTTCTCCCTGCGTTCTTGTAGGTTTCCTCCGGGTGCTCCAGTTTCCCTACAGTCAAAAAGCTTAGAATGACCAAGAGGCGACACTCAATAGAATGTTCCATTGCAACAGCAGCGCCCAGCAACAGCCCTGGATTCCGCCATTTTGGAGTGAAAGTGATCGGCCGTCCATTAGATCTCGTTACTGTTGCGATGGCAAGCAGCTGTTTTGTTTTTTATTTATTTCTTTAAAAAGTGCATAAAACTGAGATACAACCTGAAAGACGACAATACAACACTTACTATCACAATCATCAACACTTTTAATGGTTTTTTTAACAGACTTTTAATATGCTGTTGTTCTATTGGAGTTTTCATTCCAAAATGGCCGCCGCCCCCTCTAGTGGCTGTTTCCCAAATTACACTAGAGTGTCGCCTCTTGGTCATTCTAAGCGCTTTGCTAAAGTCCAAAGACATGCGGTACAGGTGAATTGGGTTGGCTAAATTGTCCGTAGTGAATGCGTGTGTGTATGTTTCCCTGAGATGGGTGGCAGCTGGAAGGGCATCCGCTGCGTAAAAACTTGCTGGATAAGTTGGCGGATCATTCCGCTGTGGCAACCCCAGATTAATATAGGGACTAAGCCGACAAGAAAATGAATGAAT